TATCAATTTCAAATTACAGCAGTAATAGTAATGGTAATAGAAATAATTAAAAATAACAATTGTATATAACTCAAAGTAATAAATTTAAAATTACAAACATTTTGGGGAAACATTAATTCATGCATACATTTGTTAGAAAAATAGATCTCATATGTTCAGTAAAAAGATAACACTTCTAATTTGCTAGAGATAGTTTTGGAGTTATTACTGAGAAAAGTGATAATAGGAAGATGCTGTTCCCTTTGTGGTAAAGTCTCTTGTAAACAGAGAGGTCCGGGAGTAATAGAAAGCAAACACTGACTATCCAACGATAAAGTAAACCTGCTGTGGTTTATTCTCCCTGAAACCTTAAGCATTCAGGGTCAGAAACTAAAAACAAAATCAGACTATTTGGATATATGCAGTTCAACCCAACTCAAAACTAATGTTATAAAAAATTCAAACCAAGAAAGAATGTAGGTCAGGCTGCAGCAATCTGAGGCTTATTATCCAGCTTTTCACTAGTAGGCATTCTATAATTCCGTACTTTGGAAGTCTCTGGCCCCTTCCTTTTTTCTAAGTTAGGCTTTTTAATTTGAGAAACCAGCTCTGTACCATGCCTGAAAAATGAGCTGGATCCCAGCCAGATAGTATAGAATGGTGTACGAGCCTTGATCAGATTAATTCCAACTGGTGCTTCCTCCACAGGCTTGAGGTTCCCCCTCCCTTTTTTTTTTCTTGTTCCTCTGCAGCTTGATTGCAACCCCCACATCCTTCAGCAGAGCAGCCTTTTAAGCTTATCTAGCTCTGAGACTGCAGGAACTTACAGTCAGGAGCTGTGGTTTACTTAAGTTCACCACATCCATTTCAAGTGTCTAGACAGCCATCCCAATCCAGGATGATCCAGTCTATTTTCTCTCCTTTAGTTTTCTCTTCTTAGTTTTCTGTCCTCAGTGATATTGTGTCCTTTTAAGAGAAGTGAGGCAAATCAATCACTTTCTAGTCAGTTGACATCCCAGTTTGGTGGAATTAATGAATTTTCTGAACAATATTCAAATTCAAGCTGCTTTGGAGCTATTGATTTCAAAAAGACATTGAGTAAATTGCAATAATTTACTTTTGGAGTACATACATTTCATTGTACACAGCTGATGACCTCCCTACCTGTATACATTTGGGAGATTTGGGAGATTGGGAGGAGAATTCCAAGGAATTAAAAAGACAAATTCTGGGCCTGCAAGGAGTAAAATATGTAGGTATTTTAAAGGGGTTAAAGAATAATGCTCAGTATTGCTGGTTATTGGGCTCCAGGGCTCCAGGTGAACGGCAGAATGTTGGAATAACCTATAGGACTTGTAGACAGCTTTGTGTAAGGAATTATCTCTAGGAGGATATAACTAAAATTGTATAACAAAAAGTATAAATTTTAATAAGAGTCATATATTAGTCAAAATTAACCATCCCAAAACAATCTAATCATTCATGATATCAAAATATAGTACGCACTAGTTATCGGTCTTCAGAGGCCTTCCAGAATAATTTAGTCTTGGCAATTTTTTGGAAGTTATCAGGAAAGGAAACACTCTTCCCATTGGAAACAACTATTCTTAGGGAGACGTTCCCACAGAGGACACCAACCTCTGCCAAAACCCTCATAGATATTTGGGACAAGTAGATTGTACACAGAAAAGGCATTCTCAACAATTTCAAGTTTCAGTTCATATAGGGCTTCATGGTACCATCCAGCAACTTGAAGCCAGTGCAGCTCTTATAGCAGCAATGTAACGTAACAAAAATAGGACCAACCCATAGGCACACATACAGCTGTATTCTGCACAGTTGAAAGAAATTTCAAAAGTGGTCTTCGAGGGCAGCCCCCTGTAGGATAAATTACAGTTGTCCAAGCAGGATGACAGGTGACAAGGATATGAGTGACTATCCTCGATGTAATGGATCCCAGAAAAGGCTGCAATTGGCAACAGCTGAAGCTGGGCAAAGAGCTGGAATGACTATATATTTCTAGTTCTACCTTTAGATCATGTCTAGATTCACACAACATGCAGAGGGGGACTCGTTTGATCTTGCACTTTGTAGAAATATAGCTGAAGTTAAACAGAAATTTTATACCCTCAAATCAAGGCACAGAGCAGTAGTTTATGTCAGTGTTTGTTCAGTGAGGCTGGCTGCTCTACTTGTCTACAACTAACTCCTGCCCTATACCTCATATGGCTCCATCGTTCATGCTATATCTTAGGTAAATGTCTCAATTCTTCCTATGGGCACATAAGTTTTCTGGTAAGTGGGAGAGGCATGAGTTATATCAAGTAGCTAGGTGACTGCAACAACTGCAACTGGGAAAAATTATACCAAATCTGTTAACAGATCTCTGCCCAAAGAGAAATGTAAGTATTCTCCTATCCCCATTTTTTATAGTATGCAAACCAATTAATAAAGCATTGAAGTTTAATCAAGTTTAATTTCTTATTTGTTTTTGCCATTATTTAAACACTATACAAATAGAAGTAGGATGGGCTATATCATTTTAAGTTTATTGCATAATACAAATATTAATTAGAATAAGTTATTAAGATTTAGTGTCCTGTTAAGTATAGCAGGTTTTGGTATTCCCATTAAGGCTTTCATTATGCTTTCTAACATTAAATCTTTGTCTTCCTTCTCCTTCAGAGAAGAAAAAGAGTTAACTGGGAACAGGATTTGCTCACTTTAAAACAATAATCAAAGTACATTACATTAAGTAGAGCATTGTTGGTAGTGAAAAAGGCCCTAATAGCAGGGGTGTCAAACTGCCGGCCCAGAGGCCGGATGCGTCATGCAGAAGCGGCGCCCACCCCATTGCCGGCAATGCCAAAACAGTCCTGATATGTCACGCGACATGTCTGCCTAATAGCCTTAGTCAAATTTATTTTATTGCTGATGTTTTGCTGTATACTTATTTCAATAAAGTTTAATAAATGTTGTGCTACATTGTCCTGAATTAATTCTCAGACTTATTGGTATATTTACGATATTTATTTTGAGAGCTTTTTTGACATATTTTGTTTCATATGGCCAGAATTTCTGCAAAATGTATGGTTGCAACTGATGATCAGTTTGTCTACTTAACATGTAAAGATGGTTAAATTCTAAGTCTTTTGATCCTTGACTTTTATTTGTACAGTAATTATGGATCTACAATAACTGGTTACTGTTTTAAAAGGTTTATATCCAGTTCTTTTTTTGGTTGGAATAAATCCGTGTATAATACAGAGAACTTTCTTGTAAACATATGAGATTATTTGCCTTGAAATGTGTACGTTAAAAAAAAATCAAAGGATATCCAAAGTTCCATAGATGAGCAGACAAAAATTATGTTCTGGGGTATGTGGAGATACAGTTTTTAAATAATTTTATAAGTTGTAAGCTGATAGGATTAATTAGTGGGTTAGAGTATACATAATTTATTAAGTAATATATTCTTTGAATTATGAAATCTGGTCAATAATATAAAATAATGAAATTGTGCCAGCTCTGTCCAAAAGCCACAAAATGGACTTAATAAACCATGAGATCAGTTTGTTTTATTTATCAGATTTATATAGCCACTCATCTCACCAACATGACTCTGGGCAGCTTTTAGTAACTATCAGGTAAAACAATGAAAACCAATTAACCAATAGAACAGACCAGTATTTACATACAAAATAACTACCTTGCAGATTGCCCATTTCAGGTCTGCTGAAAACAAACAAACAAAAAAAAAACAGGTTTTCAGAGATTTCTTGAATGCCAGTAGGATAGACACTAATCTCACTTTGGGGTGAATGCTGTTCCAAAAAGTGAGGGCCATAGCAGAAAAAGCCCACCTCTTGTGTGCTGTCAGATGAAGCTTTTTAGCAGATGGTCTTATAACATACCCCTTCTGCTGGATCTAATGGGTCAGGTAGATGTAAACAGGGAGAAGCAGTCCCTCAAATAACCTGGTTCCATGCCATGTAGGCCTTGAAAAGTCAAAAACAGTACCTTGAACTCTGAAGCAAACCTCCAACCAATGCAGTTTGCAGAATAGAGGTGTAATATGTCATTCTAACGATACACATAACTTCCTGTGCTTTGGCATTTTGCAGCAGCTGAAGCTTCCAGAGGCTCTTCAAGGGCAGCCCCACGTAGAACACATTACAATAGTTCATTCAAATGGTGACCAGGGCATGAATAACTGTGACCCAATATCATGATCCAACTTTGGCACACAACATAAAGCTATGCAGAGACCTTCCTAGCTTCTATGAGTAGGAGTTGTGAATCCAGAAGGACCTCCAGATTGTGCACCAGGTCTTCTAAGACAGTGCATCCTATTCAGTACCAAAGATGGTGAGATCCCTGATCAAGAAGGTCCTCAAACCTAAAGTGACTCAGTCTTCCAATGTTTAGTTAAAGGTTGTTCTCCATCCAGATACCCACAAAAAAGCATTTTTTTTATTTATGCATGCATGTTTAATTTGCAATTAATAAAAGTTAAAAACAACTTTTATTAGTCATGTGGCAACTCGCAAAACTGTTGATGGGTGGTATATAAATTGAATTAATAAATAAAAGTTTTGCAAGTTACCATTTGTGACTAATAAAAGTTGTCTTTAACTTAGGCAGATGAATTTCCATTATAAATCCAGATGGCTAAGCCTTTTAATGCTTTCCACGGTTTTAGAATTTGAGCTGTAATAACTACCATTTGTCCCACGTTGTTTCTGAGAGTGGACTTCTATGTTATAGTTTATTTTATGATGCTGCTACAGCTCTTTTGCAGGGATTTGGAAGCTTGAGATATGAGGAGAGATCTTCTGATACTTCCTTTTCAAAATAAGCTTTTGAAATTCATGTTTTCAAACTGCAAGTTGAAATATTGAGAACTGTTGAAAAACAAAATATTGAACAAACTGCTGGGAAAGTATTGAAGTTATATCTGCTTCCTAAGCCATAAAATGTATGTTTAGGTATTTAAATAAAATCATGTTTCTTCTCTCTAGGGGCTTCAAAAAAGTCAGAGTTCACATTTGGCAGGTCCTAATAGTGAACGACCTCTCTCTTCCACTGGGCCTTCCCAGCATCTCCAGGCAGCTGGCACTGGTATTCAAAATCAAAATGGACATCCTACCATGCCTAGCAATTCAGTAACACAGGGGGCTGCTCTCAATCACCTCCCCTCTCACACTGCTACCTCAGGTGGACAACAAGGCATTACCTTAACCAAAGAGAGCAAGCCTTCAGGAAATACATCAGCAGTGCCTGACATAAACAGGCATTCTGGAGAGACTCTTAACAGCACTGCCAGTGTAGAAGGACTTCCTAATCATGTCCATCAGGTGACGGCAGATGCTGTTTCTAGCCCTAGCCATGGAGATTCAAAGTCACCAGGTTTACTTAGTTCAGACAATCCTCAGCTCTCTGCCTTGTTGATGGGAAAAGCCAATAACAATGTGGGTACTGGAACCTGTGACAAAGTCAATAACATCCATCCAACTGTTCATACAAAGACTGAGAATTCTGTTGCCTCCTCACCATCTTCAGCCATTTCCACAGCAACACCGTCTCCAAAATCTACTGAACAGACTACCACAAACAGTGTTACCAGCCTTAACAGCCCTCATAGTGGACATGCAGTTAATGGAGAAGCATTGGAGGACTCTCAGAGCCCCATAAAAACCAATCCTCCTCTTACTGGACACAAACCTAATTCCCCGATCATACCATCTATGTCGGTATCTATATATCCAAGTTCTGCAGAGGTCCTGAAAGCATGCAGGTAAGTGCACAAACTCTTTAATTGCAAGTAACAATTTTATATTGTATGTACTGTATATCCCCCCAATACTTTACATTTTATTTAAAGAAATAAAAATCATTAAATTGTACCATAATAGATTTAATTATATGTCCCATTGAAAATGAATATGAAAATATATACAATAACTTCATTTAAAAATGAAACTTATGAAAATATATACAATAACTACATGTTTGGATATGTATTGAAAAGGTAATTGAAGAGCAATCTTACCCCTACCCAATGTTATAGCAAATTCTGGCAGAAGAAATGGAATAGCCACCAGGAGTCAGAATGAAAACGGCAATATATACAATGGATATAAAAAGTCTATACACCTATTTAAAATGGCATGTAAAAAAAATCAGACCAATATAAATCACTTGCATTTTTTTCCACCTGTAATATAAGCTATAGGTTTAGAATTCATTTGAAAATCTGAAATCTTTTAGGGGGAAAAATGAAAATAAAAAATAAAATCACAATAATGTGGTTGCATAAGTGTGCACACCCTTAAACTAATACTTTGTTGAAATACCTTTTGACTTTATGAGAACATTCAGTCTGTTGGGGTAGGAGCATGTCAGCATGGCACATCTTGCCTTGAGAATCTTTGTCCCCTCTTCCTTGCACAAGCACTCCAAATCTGACAGATTGCAAGGACATCTCTGTACAGCCCTCTTCAGATCACCTCACATATTTTCAATTGGATTCAGGTCTGGGCTCTACTTGGGCCATTCCAAAACTTTGTTCTTCTGGCGAAGCCATTGTTCTGTTGATTTGGACATATGTTTTGGGTCATTGTGGTATTGAAAGGTGTACATTCCTTTTCATCTTCAGCATTTTAACTGAAGGTTTTGTGCCAAAATTGACTGATATTTGGAACTGTTCATAATTCCCTCCACTTTGAATAAAGCCCCAGTCCCAGCTGAAAAAAAGCAGCCCGAAAGCATAATGCTGCCATCTCCATATTTCACTGTATGGTGTATTTTTGCACAGTATTGTTTTTGCATCAAATATACTTTTTGAAATAACAGCCAAAAAGCTCAGTCTTGGTCATAACACATTTTCCCACATGCTTTTATCAGATTTGATGTAGATTTTTATCAGATTTGATGTAACGGGGCTTGGATGTTTTTCTTTGTAAGAAAAGGCTTCAATCTTGCCACCCTATCCCACAGCCCAGATATGTGAAGAATACCATGGGAGTGTTGCAATATGTAGTACACAACCAGTCCTTGACAGAAATTCCTATTGCTTTTTTAATTTTGCTGTAGGCAGTTTTTTCTTGATTTTTCATAAATTTTGGAAGAACATCCAGTTCTTGGTAATGTCACTGTTGTGCCATATTTTCTCCCCTTGTTAATGACTGTCTTCATTGTGTTCCATGTGTTCCATTGTGTTTCACTGTTGTTCCATGCCTTGAAATTTTTTTCTTCTTCTCCTGACTGATACCTTCCAACAATGAGATCCCTTTAATGCTTTGTAAGAGCTCTTTGCAGACCATGGCTTTTGGTATAAGAGGCAACTGAGTAAATCTTAGTAAATTAGTATACTAGTAAATCTAGTAAATCCTACTAGAACAGCTGAACTTTATATGGGCTTGAACAGAGTCACTTTAATTGATGATAAGTGAGTCTTGACCATTATTTACCATCAATTTGAATGTGATTGGTTAATTCTGAACACAGCCACATCCTTACTGTACTTATAAGAAGCTGTGCAGACTTGTGCAACCAATGTAGTGTACATTTTTATTGTTATTTCCGCCCCCCCCAAAAGATTTTAGTTCTTCAGTTGAATTGTATAGCTTATATATTATATTAAAGGTGCAAAAGTTCTGAAGTGATTTATCTTGGTTTTATTTTTTCACATTTCAAAACCCTGGCATTTTAACAAGGGCACGTGAAGACTTTTTATATCCACTGTAAATATGGTAAATGTTCATATTCTCCTTTGCCCCACTGAAATCATTGGGAAAGGATTGGTTTTATTTAAGTTGAAGGAATCTCCTCTCCCAACATGCCTTCCCTACATGGAGCTAGGCACAAAGTACACTTTTGGTTCCTTTTCTTTTTATCCTGGGCCACACTTAGGGGGTTTATTGTTCACTTTTCTAGAGATTGGTAGATTTTTTTTTCTGACTTCTGGCCAGCCTGACTTGACATCTAAAGAATGAGGTAGTGGTGTTTGAACAGCAATACATTAACTGCTCTAGAGATTCCATTAGAAACAAGGAATTGATTATCTTCCTTGTTCAGGAGAACAGAGCAACTTAAAACACTTGGAGTTGAAAACAATTCCTTGTAGCTATGTGAGCCTGCTCTTTTGTTCCCCAAAAGAACAGAATTGCATGGCTAAAAGAAAGCACTGTAATTCTTTATGGAAAAAGAGAAGTTTTACATTCTGAATGATATGTCACAACCCACAGACTATCTGTAAAGGATTGCTTTGGGATTCTGCTCTGATATTTTACCCACCAAAGGTTTTTATTTCTGTATTAAAAAGAACTGTCAGTGTTTTATAAATTCTTCACAATTGAATCTGATTTTATTTCATTTCTGTTCTGTAGCTATTTTAGATTTTACTCTACAATTTGTTTTCTGGTTAAACTTCTGTTGTATAAAATAAAATGTCAGTCTGTGGAGAAGTATAGAAATATAGCAAATAAATACAGAAATGAATATATGTCTTCAGAACAATTACATTAAAGAGCACAGCTCAGTGGAGTACAGGGTAGAGTGCTGTATATTAAAAGAATTTACCGTAAACAAATATTGCAAGTGATGAATCATGTAGGAATGAGAAATAGAAAAATAGGTACTGACAAATTATTGAAGCATATTAAATATGAAATTGTTAAAATTGAGATACCACTTCTTATACAAATACAATTGTATTATGTTGCTGAGTTCTGCTACAAGCTAGAGAAATCTACCAACAAAACTTCTAAGACCTGGGAACAGCCCAGGAGAGTGGGCATCACATGTATCTCTCAGGTGAATTTATGCCAGAGAGTAGGGGCAGCAACAGGGAAGGGATGCTTCCTCAGTCCTACAAGGTGACAAAGTTTAATTGAGGGGACCTGGAGCACACTCAGTCTGCCTAAATATTGCCAGGTGGACAGAAATCTGGAAGCAGATGGTCCATCAGATAACTGGGCCTTACACCATGAAGGGTTGTAGAGATAACAACCAACACCTTCAATTGCACCCATAAGTGAATTTGCAGCCAATGCAGCTTGTGAAGCATGATATATGGACATCATGAGAAGTGCCCATTACTGAGAGCCAATTTAGTCTAGTGGTTTAGGCACCAAGGTAGAAACCAGGAGACTGTGAGTTCTGGTCCCACCTTAACACATGAAAGTCAGCCAGGTGACTTTGGGCCAGTCACTCTCTCTCAACTTACAATGGCAGGTGACAAGTCCAAAAATTTGACCCTACAGATATGGGAAAATTGAGGGGGGGGAGTGCCCATTACTGCTCACGCTGCTGCATTTTGAGCCAGCTACATCTTCCAGATGATCTGCAAGGACAGTCCCATGTAGAACATATTGCAGTAGTCCAGATGAAGTTATACAGAGGCTCTCCTGATCACTGTTGTGACCTGCCCATCAAAAACAATAGCGTATTAGTCTTTAATAGGGAAGTGAAATCCATGAAAGATGATGGAATTATAATTCAGTGATGGAATTATCCTCAGTCTAAGGGGGCCAAACAGCCACAGCCATTCTGTCTTCTCAGGATTGGGCTAAAGTTAGTTCCTCCCTTTCCAAACCTGAATAGTGTCTAGCCACTAGACCTGAGTTAGTATATGGACAGCTTCACCTGCGCAACCCATGGTTGAGATGTAGAGTTCTGAACTGATGGATATCCTTGCCCAATGGTTTCATGTAGATGTTAAGGAATAACAGAGTTGAAAGGGATCTTGGAGATCTTCTAGTCCAACTCTGTGCTCAAGCAGGAAAATGATTGTCCAATCTCTTCTTAAAAGATTAAAGAGGAGAGAAGAGAGAGTTGAGTCCAGAATTTTCCCCACAAGTGAGGGATCACAGATGGAGTCACTCCCTTCCCATCAACACAGACTGGAAACAAATACTATGGAAGGATGTAAACCACTCCAGCACAGTTCTTCCCACTCTCAGCCCTTGCAGTTGGACCAAGACAATAGTCTGGTCAACAGCACTGAAAGGATGGATACATCATCACCTCACCCTAGCCTGGCCAAAGATAATTGACAAGCATGTCTCCGTAAAACACCCCAGTCTGAAACCCAACAAAAATGGCTTTGGATAATTAATTTCCCTTAAGATCCAGAACCTTCCTCACAAAGGGAAGATTGGAAATTGGATGATAGCTGCCCAAAATGGAGAAATACAATTATTTAGCTTCTAACATCCTTAACTGAAATAGAGTTCAGATAGAAGTAATGTTGATGCTGTGATTATGAACTAGCTGTGAAGATATCTAAATTTTATAAATGAGTGCATATGATTATGAGGACTAGTCATAAGTCACCTTTTCAATGCTGTTGTAACCTTGAACAGTCATTAATCAAATGGTTATAAGTCAAGGATTACCTGTACCGCAAAACATACAATCCATTATACATCATTGCGCCTTATTAGAATCCGGATTCTCCAGCAAGCCCCCAGCACAGACAACAAAGTTGTGTATTTCACCTTGTTTTGCTACATTAAGCTTAACGTAATATACTTTTAAAATATATTTACTGTCAAAATACAGTTTCTTAACAGTTTGCTACTGGAATATAGCAATGCTGTTTCTAGAGCTACACAAAAAAAGATTAAGCCATGTATACTTACAGTTTGTAGGTCTTTTTCTTGTGAATTGGACTAAATAATGGTTAATAGTATTTTTCTGTTACACCCATATTTGGTGTACACAGTCATACGCCAGCTACTAAAATCTGGGTGCTATAATTTTTCTTGTATTTTACTAAAAAGGATTAAGAAGGGGAAAATATAGTTGGGTAACTAGTTGCTAGTTATTCCTTGCCCAGATTGCTACAACTTAATGCAATAATGCAATATTGTATTAAGCTGTGGCAATCTGGGTAAGGGAAATCTCTAGAGTTGTGCATTAGTAGAATACAAATAATGAGTAAACCAAAATCTTTGACTCCTAATTTTGCTTCTAGAAAAGCAATTGGCCATTGATGGCTATACTCTCAAAAATCAAACTTAATTCAAAGTTGTTTGTTGAGTTTTTGTTTATTGAGTTTTTAAAACAGAAAGTTGGATTTTATTTGTTCATTTCATAGCAAACTATATCTGTTTCCTTCAGTGGAAGGAGAAACTGAACATTATCCATGAATTCTTCCAGTGTACTCCAAAGCAAGTTTTACTGGAAAATATTGGAATAAGGAAATAAATTGATTCTATTAGAACAATGTTTCCCAACTTTGGCAATTTTCAGATGTATAGAATAATGAGTATAAAATGAAGAACCTCTTCCAAAGTTAACTCTAAGAAATAAGTGTCTTAGTTATGATACTGAATCTGGTAGGCATTTTTTAAATTATTTGTAACAGGAAAGCTTAATTAACTTGCAATCAAATTATTACGTATGAAAATATAGTATTCCTTAAAATATTTCAAAATATTTTCCAAGTTTCATAAAGTATATTAAAAGTTAAAGTTGAATAATTTGAAGCTGACAATTTTTCCTGTTTCATTAATAAAGTGTTATCCTTATGTAATATGTAAAATATTATATCTCTTTAATTATAATAGTGCTTCTTAAGATGAGGGTATTGACTTGGACATGACATCCTTTATTCACGAGTGTAAATCTGTGGTATTTGTACTTTTTTACACATGTAGATAAAAAGGATGTTCTCTATAAACAATCACAGTTTATTTTCTTTTTAGTTTTTGTTCTGTTTTGTAGCTCTGTTTTTATGTCTGATCTTGCAAACTAAAGAGGGATAAGGAATGCCTTTCTAACTAAATAAATATTGAAGCCCTTCATTAAATATATGAAGAATATATTTTTCCAAGCTTAAAAATTATTTCTACAGTTTGTGTGCAAAGTAATACATGGTCTTTATTTTTGTGTGTTTTATCAGGTTTTAACTATTTTGTTTCTTAGGAATTTGGGGAAAAACGGCCTATCAAACAGTAGCATTTTATTGGATAAATGTCCTCCTCCAAAACCACCACCACCTCCATATCCTCCCTTGCCAAAGGATAAGTTGAATCCACCTACACCTAGTATTTATGTACGTATTGTCTAGAGATGGTTATAAAAAGTATGACAGTGCCTATTAAAAGCAAAATCTAGTTTAAGGTATTGGATAGATTTTCTATTATCTGTGATTCTTGCAGCTTATTAGTATATATAGTACAGAAAGCTACTCTGTTTCAGATTTTCCAAAACAATAAGATTTCCATTGTCATCCCAGTATTTCATTTCAAATAGATTTCAAAAATGGTATATTCAATAACCAGACTGTTATTTAAAAAGAGAAAACAAATTTACCACACTTCTTTCAGGAAAGCTTACATACTCACATTAATTTAAGACATTAATTAGGGAAATAGATTTAGAGTGAAAAGGAATATTATACTTATAAATATCCTATCATGCATAGATATTTCTGTATAAAGGTTATCATATAGACCTATTTATTTCTGTACTCTTCCAAGTATAATAAAGTTTATTATTTCTTAGGCACTTTAAAAATTCCAGCTATATACAATATGTTGAATTATTATGAAATTTTATAGGCCCTCTGAACATCTGATTATATCTTTCTTTGAAGATTATTGTTGCACTGTTTTTTAATGCATTAAATGATCGTTTTTATGACTTGAATATTAATGTCATGAAGTCATCCTTGAAATATAATCAAAGGACTAAATCCAGTTTTATATTTTGTAATAACAATGATATTTAAATTACAGTGTTAGTTTCTATTTTTGTAGCTGGAAAATAAGCGTGATGCTTTCTTCCCACCTTTACACCAATTTTGTACAAATCCAAACAATCCTGTTACTGTAATACGTGGCCTTGCTGGAGCTCTTAAATTAGGTATGTTTGCTAAATAAAAATTAAATTTGGGACAAAGGAGACTGCTTTTATTTTTATCAATATTTGCTAAGGAGACATTATTGTAACGAGACATGTTATTATATTTTAAAACAGCATTTGCTTAGGTTGGGAATAATGCAATATTTTTTGTAATCTCTGTTGGTAATGTCTGTAACTTTTTCTGCTATTGTATTAGGAAAGCTTTTTGCTTTATTAAACACATTTCCTATTTCTTAGATCTGGGACTCTTCTCTACCAAAACTTTGGTAGAAGCTAATAATGAACACTTGGTTGAAGTAAGGACACAATTATTGCAACCATCAGATGAAAACTGGGATTCTACTGGAACAAAAAATACATGGCATTGTGAAAGCAGTAAATCTCAGTCTACAATTGCTAAATATGCACAATACCAGGCCTCCTCATTCCAGGAATCCTTAAGGGTAGGTACTCATTTTTGTACTGACTGAAGGTTATTAATTTTTTTGTGGCTGAAAATTTTATATAAATTAATTGTAAACGCTTACAATTTCAAAAAATACTACAATACAATAATGTATAATAATATTTAAGCAAAATAAAGAATGTGCCTATATGTTGTGCTTTGTTAAGTTATAAATACAAGCATATGAAAATTTTAAGCTTAAAATAAAAATGAACTTACTGTAAACATGATATTTTTCTGTATTTTCATGCTTGCTTTTTTATTTAAAATACATATTTTCACATTTTATCTTGAAATTTGTTATTTATTTATTTAATTAATTTATTTTATTTATATGCCGCCCAATCCCAAGGGACTCAGGGCGGCGTACAAAATTAAAACAATAATCTAACAATAAAATAATACAATCATACAGCGTCCGATCATATCCCCCCCCCGGGGACATCAGCCCCAGGCCTGCCGGAACAGGAGAGTTTTAACAGCTTTCTTAAAGGCTGGCAGGGTGGGAGTAGTTTGAACCTCGGGGGGAAGTTGATTCCACCAGGTCGGAGCCACCACAGAAAAGGCCCTTCCCCGAGGGCCCGCCAGCTGACATTGTCTGGCCGACGGGACCTGAAGGAGGCCCAATCTATGGGACCTCACCGGTCTCTGGGAACTGTGTGGCAGTATGCGGTCCTGTAAGTAACCTGGCCCTATGCCATGAAGGGTTTTAAAGGTGATAACCAACACCTTGAATTGCGTCCGGAGACCCACAGGAAGCCAGTGCAGCTCGCGGAGGATAGGTGACACGTGGGCGTACCTTGGCGCGCCCACAATCGCTCTCGTGGCTGCATTCTGAATTAACTGCAGCCTCCGAACGCTCTTCAAGGGTAGCCCCATGTAGAGTGCGTTACAGTAATCCAGTCTTGAGGTGACAAGGGCATGAGCGACCGTGAGTAAAGCCTCCCGGTCCAAATAAGGTCACAACTGGTGCACCAGGCGAACCTGGGCAAAGGTCCCCCTGGCCACAGCCGATAGATGCTGTTCCAAATTTAGCTGTGAGTCCAGGAGGACACCCAAGTTGTGTGCCTGCACTGAGGGAGATAAATTTGCACCCCCCTCAGGACTAATGATGGACCATCCAGTTGACCTTTGGGAGGCAAGACCCAGAGCCACTCGGTCTTGTCAGGGTTGAGTCTAAGCCTGTTCACCCCCATCCAGACCCTCACATCTTCCAGGCACCGGCACATCACGGCGATTGCTTCACTGAAAGGACACAGGGTGGAGATATACAATTGGGTATCATCTGCGTACTGATGATACCTCACCCCGTGTCGCTGAATGATCTCACCTAGCGGTTTCATGTAGATGTTAAAAAAGAGGGGGGACAGGACCGAGCCCTGAGGCACCCCATGATCGAGGCGCCTGGGGTCAATCTCTGTCCGCCTGCCAACATCGACTGCGACCTGTCAGAGAGGTAGGAGGAGAACCACCGCAATACGGTGCCGCCCACCCCCACCTCTCCGAGACGATGCAGAAGGATACCATATTTTTCACTGCATTCTGTTTGCTTTGATGTCTTTACAGAAATACTTGAAATTTCCCCCCAAAAAAGTTTAGCCTATTTGAAGAAGTGGCCTCATATTTAAATTTAATATTGAGCAACCCCAATACAAATGAAGTTGAAATTGATTATTTCAGATGAAAGAATGTAGATTAATGATTACTAGTTAGCTACTATGTCATGTTCAGGCCTTTGTTTTTAATATGTGCAGCCCTAAATAGATCATCCTATAAATCACTGATATCACCAGAGGAGTGATCTACTGCAGCAGTCTCTAACCTTTGCGGCTTTGCGGACCAGCTTGGGGGGAAGGGAATGGTTCCACATGAGCCCACTACTCGCACAAATGAAGCTGCATGTGCTTGCCTGCCTGCTGTGAGCACAGGTGGAGCTGTGCGCAGACTCGCTCGCTGCTTCCATGGCCCAGTTCTGAACGGACCATAACCCAGTAGTGGGCTGCAGCCCCGGGGTTGGGGACTCCTGATCTACGGCATTTGCTAAGATTGATTGCCATATTTACAGAAACTCCTACAACCATGCATTTAGCAACCATTCAAAGTTAAAACAGCACTGAAAAAAGTGACTTACGATTGGTCTTCAGATTTACAACTGTTGCAGCATTCCCACAGTCACATGATCAAAATTCAGGTGTTTAGCAACTTTCATTATTTACGACATTTGCAGCATTTCAGGATCATGTGATTGCCACTTGCGATCTTCCCTGCTGGCTTCTAACCAAGAAAGTCAGTGGGAGAAGCCAGATTCATTTAACAACCATATGAGTCACTTAACAGTTGCAATGATTGACTTAACAACCATGGAGGAAATGGTTGTAGAAATGGGTGCAACTTACTTAACAACCACCTTGCTTAATAGTGGAATTCTGGTCTCAAATTATGGTTATAAGTCAAGGACCACCTGTACTCTTAGATAAGGCTTCCTGTAATGATATCTGCATTCTGGGAAGTTTTCTTCCCTGAAAGAAACTTACTGTTTTACAGCTTTTGAAAATCTTTCTCTTCACTTGGGTTTTCAGTATATTACTTGTGAATAACTATTTTGTTTTTGTATTCCTTTATCTTTTTAATGAATATATTTCTGTATTGTTTTCACGTATGCTTTTGTTTGGAAAGTGAAATAGAAATATAATAAATTAAATAGTAAAGAATGTGAAGAGATCTAGTATATTGTGGGCTATAAAAAAGATGGTGTTAGAAAATACTGTCACGAACAGTTTGCAGTTAGGTGTATAGACCCTCCATTTATGCTGGGCATGAGGATAGGGAGCTGGAGTTGTGTGATGGCCAAGCTAAGGAGATCTGCAACAATGCAACATCCTTAGATAAGCCTTCAGGAGGATCAGGGAGGCAGAGCTCCCTAGCAATTCGGAGATCGGGAGTTGGCTGGATTTGTAGGTTCAGAGCTGCTGTTTTTACCTGGATTGGCCAAAACGGTAGGGGAAGTCTCAGGTGAGTTGGTTCTCCAGCACATTGCATATCAGTTTTTGGCTGTGTCCTTGGCTCAGCTACTCAGCTCTTGATGATTTTTAGAGAAAATGGCAAACTGTGGTGTGCTAGCAACAGTAGCAGCAAAGACCGATCTGTGATCAGGCTTTTGGGCTGTTGGATTATGTTCGCAGACAGATGAGGCTATGCCTGTGTTTTCTGGTAATGCTGGTCTCTGGGATGGCAGCAGGAGCAGGCAGGAGGCTTTTGAGGGACACTGGCCCATGTTCAGACTAGTCAATTAGAACAGCAGTCATTTTGTTAGCTTCATCTTTTCTCCCAATTGCATATAACTTGCCAGCCAGCTGAAGCAGTTGTATAACTGGAGTCCTGTTTCATCTAATGTTTGGATCTGTCTCTCCAGTGCCATTTGAAGAGTTTGTGACTTTGACAATCTTATGGGTTGGGGATGTTCTCTGGGCTACTGTTACTGTTTTTCCTTGTGTAACAGAAGGATTGCAAAGATGTGTTCTGTGTTAACCTTGCCTTCTAGGCTATGGCTCTTCTATCCCAGATGAGAGCAGGGCAGGTTGTGTGGAGTAATTTATTGCTTGACATATGGCAGATGGAAAGGGAGATGTGATAGCCTAAACTAAGAGATGCTCAGAGGAAGGCAGAAGGCTTCCCAATACTGGTCAGCCCTTAAAGGTGGATTAGAATGTTGGGATCCTTGGCTTGGGGATGGAGCAGTTTTGGCTGAGGGTGTCTTTGGTGATCAGGAGGGAAGATGCGGGCAATAAACAGAAAAAGATATGGTAGGAAACGGAGGATGGAAGTTTCACGGATGGTGGCCTCAAGCTTTAGTATTGATATTGCCTTCCATTCACCATGCTCTGTCCCAAAGCCTGGTAATCACCCAGCTGCTACTACTTAATATAGAGTTAGCCTATAATAAGACTTTCCTCATCCACAATTAAATTGTGGGTGAGAGGGCTGGCTTTGTTTGCATTATTCAAACCTGTTGGCTGGGCCTGATGGAGGAGATTCCCCTCTTTAAAATTTGCCCAGCTGCATTTCTTGTGTGGCATCAACCATGAACTCAGGGTTGGGGCTGAGGTCTGGGAAATCTTAGTTGCTTTCAGGGTGCCTCTCTATAAATTGCTAGGTATGCAGCCTTGTTTGTGAAGTTAGGCTATTGGGATCAGAAGAAATTGTTGCTTGTGTACCACCCTCTCTGCTGCACAGTAACCTGAGTTGGCAGTGGAGTTCTGCAGATTTATGGTTCTAGAGACTTGAGCCTGCTGTTCTTGGGTATAGACTCCAAGGCAAATCAAAAGTTCATGGCAATCGGACTTCCGGTGGTTCCAGCGACAACGATGGCGGCGTTTTACAAAGCCGCCCATTCCTGGTCTGTGTAAAAGCCGCGGGACTTTGACAATCAGCTGTCCCGCGGCTTGAATCTCCTCCCTGGGCAAAAGGGAGGAGGAGAGCTCTCAGATAGAGGTAAGAGCTCCCCTGGATCCCTATATTTTTGGGGATCGGAGGGTAGAGCTCCCTCGGAGCCTGAGCATCTCCGTGTTCCAGGGAGCCTTCGTCCCGAAGTTCTGGGATGAAGCAAGCTGTCGCTTCCACATCTGCTTCTTTTAGCCGCTTGTGAGTTCTTAAAAGCAGACGGAGCAGACCAGGAGAAGTTGTGTCTAAGTTTGATGGTGTCTTTAACTCCAGCAAGTATCCTCTTCTTTTTTTTTATTGTTCACTTTCCCTTTTGAAGAAAGGGAAAGTGAAAGGCAAAATGGTGATTGTCTTTCTTGTTTGATCTGCATCACAAAGTTAAAATCTGGATACAGATTAATGCCTTAAATATAGAAGCAAGAATTTGTCTTTTTTTTTCCTTTCTTTTTTCTCTGTAATTTTTTTTAAAAGAATATTTAAAAGAACTGTGATTTTTTCCTTTTTTTTCAAACAAGAATCTTTCTTCTTAGAACTTAAGAAAATGGCTTCAAAACGCTT